ATATAAGAAACAACCAATATGTATAATAACAAATTATTTGGTAAAGAAATAATATTTTTGTTGCTAATTGATGTTTGTACCCTATAACCAAAATAGGAGTTTTACACCAACCTAACGGTGAAACTTAACTTTCCCAGTGCCCACATAATATCTGCATGTTATTGTATGTGCTCACTGGAGTACTCCTGTGAAATGTTAAAACTGAGATTATTTTCTTGCAAAGTGGTTGTTGTGGCCAATGTTATGACAATTCCTAGAACTTTATTATAAAGTTTAAATAAATCATTAAGTTTGATTGATAGCGCAAAACATACATGTTCAAACAAATGTTCAAACTCATAGAATACATACATGTTATTGTTTTTTTTTTTTTCTTTTTCTTTTTGATAAAACGTACAAGTTATTGTTGACTGATCATATCAGAAATTTCTACCTAACCAATAATTATTAACATGGTGGAGGACTATATGTGTTTGATAGGCATGTTAAAAAGATTCTCATAAAAGAGGATTCATCATCATTAGCTCCTGAGATGACAAACTTTGAGCTCATTTTATTTCTCTTTACTTTGAATATGACCTTTGTGGGTTTTCACATTTTTCCACAACTAAAACTAAAATATCATTTAAGCAAATTTAAAAGAGGCAAAAAAGTAAAAAAAAGAAAGAAAGAAATTGAAGGACATAAGACTATGGAATGCGCACATATATCTATAGAGCCAGCAAAATCTCTTTAAAATCAGATTCCTTATAAAGCATATGTGCATAATTAAGACTTATAGTTATACGAATATGATTTAGTCTCTTACTCTCTAGTACTTTAACAAAAATTAAACTACATATGTAAATTAAGAGGTTCATTATAAATTTAATAGAACTATAAATTACAATTTTTTATAACATAAATTATACTAAAAAAAAACAAGAGTGGGTTTCAATGAATTTTTTTTGGAAACTGGAAGTCAAATATATTATCATTCCTATATCCACAAATACATATATGAGTGTATTTGTGAACCTCAGCCCTAATATAAGGTGACTTTCTTTTTCATTAGTAGTGATACAAATTGATGATAATATGAAAGCATTTCAAAAAAATATGGTAGAAGCTAAAGCTACTTTGGAACTTTTGCCCAGAAGCTAAAGCTACTTTGGAACTTTTGCCCATCACAAAAAAATAAATCGAATATTTGCTTTACTTATTCCTTAAAATTATCAAACCGTAAAACCAAATGTATGATTATCATTTTCTTCAAGCGATTTGTGATTGATCATAGTGGTACACACCGTACACTACATAGGTGAGACTAGAGATTCCCCAACCAAATTATCTGTTCATGTTTTATTTAACAACTCAAAATATCTTTTCATCATCAAAAGAATTTGATGGAGAAAAAGAAAAATGGTTTTAGCCCAAGTGACCTTTCTTAAAATATATTTGAATTTTTAGCCCAATATATTCTTACTGATAATATTACTTCTAAAATGATGGAGGTTTGTTTATCCTTTTTTTTAGATAGCTCATTCAAGAGGAAATAATATGAACAAAAATATGGACTTAATTTAAAAATTGTTGGTGTGATAGATAATTCAAGAGAAAATGATTCTAACAAAAAACGTGGATGGTAATTATCAAAAAAAAAAAACATGGATGGTAATTTATAAACTGCTGATGTGATATACTTCTATGCCAAATTTTAAGTGAGAAATACATATATACATCTTTTTTTGGTCAATTATATATATGTAATGCGCGAATTTAAATCTGGATAATGACATATCAACGACATTAACACAAACCACTACATTATAAGTTTTGGTCTTGACAGTTCATTTTTTTTAACAGAAGAGTTAAAGGTAAATAATGGGCCTGATTGGTAACAGCTGTAGCTTTACATTTTTTGCTGTAGAAATATGACTGTAGGTTTATTTGTTGTGGCTGTAGATTTTACTGCTGTAGAATTTTGGCTGTAAAATTTAAAATTTTGAAAAGTTGAAAATTATGTGGTTTAGAAAAAAAGGCTTTCTACAGCCAAAAAAGTGAATTAAGGAAATATTTTGGCTGTGAGAAAAAAAGGAAAGTCAAAGCTTCTAAAGCTTGATTGGATGTATTTCAAATCTTTAGAAATTTTTTTGCTTTGTAAAGATTGTAAAGCACTTGCCAATCAGGCCCAATATAAATGAATTGGGTAAGAAACTCTTTCAGTTTTCTAACTTATCTAAAATTTTGTTCACATTTTCTAGTAAATAATAGTAATATTTAAAATTTACATTTTTATATGTTGATGAGTTTTCGCTTTAGTTTTTATACTTCTTACACTTTTTCTGTAATATCCCCCAACCAAATTATGGGATGTTACAGTTTCTCCTTTTCTTTTCAAAACTTGTGGTTGATAACCAAGTTCACCCTGGTGTGAAATTTGGCGCGGTTTAATAGGGCATGCACTTAGAATTTTGGGATTATGATTTAGATTTTTTTATGATTTAGGTTTTATTTGAAAAATAAAATTTTAATAATTCTAAAAGCATATTGTAAAAACATATTTATATTATTGGAAACAATTCATGTTATGAAAAATATATTTGAAGTACATACTATAGTTATAACGCAGATAACTGAATGTCAATTTGATACTAAAGTTGTGAAGGAAACATGAAAATTTTCTTAAAAAACAAAAAAACCTTAAAGAAAATTTGTGAATGGGTTTATTTCAACATATTTACAAAAAGTAAAGATATTATTTAGCAAATTGCATATAGTTTTGTATCAAATATATTAGGAATGTGGGTGGGTTGTTTCCCGTTGGACCGTCAAGCCCAACATCTCGGAAATACAACAAGACATGCCACTTATATGGGCCACATAGGTGGGAAACCATTTTTGTGGGAATTTGCTTGTTGGGCCAACCTGGCTCTGATACCATATTAGGAATGTGGTCTAACTTAACCCAAAAGCTAGTTCAAGAGTTAAGGATTGCCACATCCTTTATATACTACCCAAAAATCTTAATCCTAAACAATGTGGGACATTCTAATAGTTTTGTATCATGAAATGAAACGTGGACATCTATGGGGTGAGAAGTGGTCAGCGAGACAAAGGAAAAGCAATGAGAGAGTAGGTATTTATAAAATAGAAGTCTATAAGTTTTATAGGCTCAGTTTGTGTCTGTCTCTTCTAAGTCGTAGCCCTAACTCCCTACCTATATTCCTCTCCACCAATCACATCTTCCTCAGCTTCCTTTTTCTTCCATACATGAAACTATATAGTCTATAGATAGATTAAGAAATTTCGAATACAGAAATCTTATGAAATATATCAACAAAGATGTCGACTAGTTTTTCAGCCGATCACGAATCGTCGATATAGAAAGAAATAATATACTGTTTATTAGTAGTAAAATGCTTGCTAAATTTCTTTTACTGAATGATTTTTTCTTTTTAAAGGAACAAAATTAACCACGCATGCTTTGCAATTGCGTATGTTCTTGTTTAGACTTCTTCCTCTAATTGCAACTTATTTTGAAGATCCAAACTGAGTATAACAGTATACTCTAACCCTCTATTTCAATATAGCAGCTAGCTACAAATCCATCCGATATATATATCAAACCATAAAATCAAGGGTGTTCATTAAGATAGAAATTGGAATATAAGCTTTTAACAAAAATAATATGGAAGAATCACTTGCATTCATGATGGTTACCTCCCAAGTAACTCATAATTCATTATCAAAATAAATTAATAGAAGTACTCAAAAGAAATTCCATCTCTCTTTCAGTTTCAGGTATACAAATTGGTTTCTACCAAATTATTGTAACACATATATCCATATCTATCTATCTATACCGAAAAGATGATAATTAGTTCTATCCTGAAATTCTACAATTCTTTTTTTTCCTTCGAACTCTAATGTGAGATGAAGTTTTTATAATCATATTAAACACTGTATGTCTCTAAATATCTAAGAAACAAAAAAATTAAGGAAAAATAAAATATATTGTCCATCTTATATAAGATGAAGATACCAATATTATCTTCCAATAAAGCAGAAGCGAGAAAATGAAGGAGATGGGGTTGCTATCAAACAACAAAGCAACGCCCACGTGAAGGCATGACCAAATAGGCCTTAGACTTGGTCCCTTTCGTTTTCTCTTCCCACTTTTCTTCTCTTTGCTATCACCACTTTTTTCATTACCCTAAATCACTATCACTCCCACAACCTCCAGTTTAACCTTATCCCATCCACACCACACTTACTAATAAGCCTTTTTCCAATAAAAGCACTTCCTTATTCCTTAATCAAAAGGGCTTGTTGCTGATCTACCCACTATGGTAGTATGGTACATACATACATGGTAGTTAAGAAAAATAGTTAAGAAAAACACAAAATTTCGACTACAACTTAGTTTTATGAGTGAAGAGTTAATTGCTTGTACGAGCCTTGTAGACTAAGTTGAACTCAGTATAATTAGCTTTCAATACTACAATTTACTTTACCTTTGATGCAAAAATCATACAATCTAACTTTTGAGTATGTAGTGAATTAAGAACAAAATCGATTAAGCCTCCCAAGTCCCAGACCAAACTATTAATCTTTTTCTTTGGTTGCTTCTAACATAATTATATCGTAAATACTACTATATGGAAAGTAAAAAAAATTACAAATTTCAAAGTTTCAAGTTTAAAATTTAATTCATATGTAGTTACATTTGCTAACAATAGAGAATTCAGTAATCTTAAAAAAAAAAAAAAAAAACAATAGTGAATTTAGGTAACATTCGCTTCTATAAATTTGTGTAATATTATGTTCTGTAAATGTTATTGAAGCAATATGTGTATTCTGTTCCACAAAAATTATTAGGATGAAGATTAAAAGAAGATGATATACCAATGTTATAGTTTTTTTTTTTTTGTGAAATATCTATATTAATTAATGAAAATTGATATAATTTGTAAACTTTCATTAATAATAGTGTAAGTGAATATAACAAAAACATTAGCCATAGTCCCTCCGTTTGTTTTGGACAACCTTTTGAAGCAGAAGGTAGGGTATACCCCAACCGAAGGAACTAATCCATATTAGTAACGACCGAACCTATCCATATTAGTAAAGACTGTCTCTCCTTATTTCTATTTAGATAGTATTAAAAGATATTTACGGAAGTGATAGAGTTATATAGAAAAACATATAGTGCTTTAATTTTCTTATTTTCTACAATATCTTTTGTCCATCTTCCTCAAGCTATCAACGTTTATAGCACAAGCACACACAACCACTAATGAACCAAAGGGCTTGAGTGAAGAAAGGAAAAAGAAGATTCTGTTTTCATTACCTATTTCTCTCTTCAATCTAATGTTTCCTTCTCTAGACACCAATGGCTATGACCTCTTTGATCCCTTCAATCCCACACAAACAACCATGCTTCCTTCTTTCACCAGTTACATTCAAAGCCCTAGTTCTCACCATCACTACTCTTCGCCATCTTTTCCTTTCTCTCCAGATTTTCTTGACAGTTTTAATGAATCCTTGTTGATAAACCAATTCTTGTTACAGCAACAAGATGCAGCAGCAAATGTTGTTGAATCTCCAAGAAAACTTTGCAAGAAGCTTCAGCTAAAGAATAATAATGAGAAGTGTGTTGATGGAACCACCTCAGAACAAGTTCCACGGAGAAGAATGGCCAAAAAAAGGGACAGACATAGTAAGATCTGCACGGCTCAAGGTCCTAGAGACCGGAGGATGAGGCTGTCTCTTCAGATTGCTCGCAAGTTTTTCGATCTTCAAGACATGTTGGGTTTCGACAAGGCGAGCAAGACGATTGAATGGCTTTTCTCCAAATCAAAGGGTTCCATCAAACAACTTAAAGAAAGAGTGGCTGCATCGGAAGGAGGAGGACAGGATGAACATCTCCAGGTTGATGAAAAGGAAAAGGATGAGACATTGAAGGTGAGAGTCTCAAAGAGAAGAACAAAGACTATGGAGAGCTCTTGTAAGACTAAAGAGTCGAGAGAGAGAGCTAGAAAACGAGCAAGAGAGAGAACAATGGCAAAGATGAAGATGAGATTATTTGAGACCTCGGAAACAATTTCAGATCCTCATCAAGAAACTAGAGATCAGATCAAGATAACCAATGGTGAACAATTACTAGAAAGGGAACATAAAGAACAAGAATGGAGTCATACTAATGTGAACATGGTTGAGTATCAAATGGATTCTGTGAGCATCATAGAGAAGTTTCTTGGACTAACCAGCGACTCTAGCACCTCTTCCATCTTTGGTGACTCCGAGGAATGTCACACAAGTCTTAGCTCAATAATAGGTACTACTTCACAAGCAGGTAACGGCAATGTGTTAATTAAAAACCCTAATTAAGTAATGTAGTTTTGATTAATGTTGGCTTTTTGCTAATTCCAGGAATGTCGACACCAAGGGAACACAACACAACGGTAGATGAAGAGAAAAGCCCTATTTCATCTTTTTCTCTATATGATTATCTCTGCTACTGATGATTATGCGGCTCCATCCTTATGAGGTATTTGGACTTTATGATCTATGCATGAACATAAGAGCCTCATGAGCCAAATCTATTATATAGAAATGTAGCTAGAGATTTGTGTGTGTGAACGAGAGGGTTTGGTCTGCCTAATTTGTTTGAGGCTTTGGAGTACTGCTTGATTGATGGATCTATATATATATTTTTTTTTCTATTTTTCTGGTTTCATTTAGTTGATTTTCTTGCAAGTTTCTAATTCTCTGGCATTTATTTGTAATTGTTGCTATTTGTCTTCTGTAATTAGTTCAAATAAGTGCCTTTTTATATATGTTAGTGTTGGGAAATTTTCAAAGGTATTTCACAAGCACACAAACAAAGCCAATTTATAAGATTGTGATGGGCACAAATCGCTAGTCTAAGTATAGGAGCTTTAATTACCACATTCCAAAATGTGTAAGATATATAAGACAATAATTTAGATATGTTAGACTTTGTTCTACTTATTTTGTCAATTAACCATATGTATGAGTATTAACTAGTGTTCTAAAAACCACTTAGATGGTATTTATGTATTATACATACACATGTAGTACTGATTTCATAAACGTTGTGTCTAGCTTCTACTGGAAAACGTTTTCAAACTAGACATTGATTAAATCATTTTGAGTTGGACTAGACGGGTTAATAAACAGATCATCATTTTAAGCACGTTAGAAGTTAGTTAATTGTTCTCGAACTATTAGATATCGATTAATCGTTTTTAGATTGGCTATTTGTATATATATTTTAGGGAAAAAAAATCATTGTTTTAGGACTGAATTGAGAAAATGTTTTCCTATAAACTCATACAATTCTTTTCTTTTTTTTTTTCTAAAATTGCAGCCACTCTAACTTCCATCATGTCAATTTTTCTCCCAAATTCTCAATCACTGTTTTTCTTCTACTTTCTTGAGTTGGGTGCAGTGATATGCTTAAATTTACAGTAGGTTCTTTATTAGAAAAGAAAACATTTTCTTAAGACGGTGTTTTAGTAATGTGAATTTTTTTTGGTTTGATTTGTGGATTATTATAGTCTTAACAGGTTAGCACCAACGAGTTTCCTTGACATGCATTTTCCCTGCTTGCATGGCAAAAACCTCCATGCATCTAATGATTTAATAAAATATACCCTTTTTACCAAAAAGTGAAATTGATTATCAACATAACGGAATTCTATAAACTTCTACCAATATAAAATGAACGAACGGAAACTCTCAACAATCAACATCAGAAATGACAATGTTTCTCCTTCGAATTTCAGTGTGAGTTGAAGTTCTAACCATGAAAAAACCTAATCGAAGCATAAGTTATCAAAGAAAAGAAAAACAAAGTGAAACTTATGTTTAATCACACGTTAAAATAAAAATGAAATAGCAATGGATCATGATCATCATCATCATCATCATGCCCTAGCGATAGCAGAAGTTGAAGTAGCAAAATACCAATGATACACGCAATGGGCCTTAGGCCCAGAAACATCAAATGTTCTTCTAAATAATGGGTTCACTAATACACTAATTTTAAGGTCATACGTGGGTAAAGTATCAAGATCGATCCAACCAATTCAAACGAAAACTGAGACGAAGATAATCTATAAGCCGATTATTTTTTCATAAATCCAAAAATCGAACCCAATATTAGTAAGGACCAAACCAAAGCAAATAAACCGAATTAAAATTTTGTATTAATTAAATAAGACTGTAATTAAAATAAAATAGATATAATCATATTAAATTGATTAAATCATTATATCTTTATATCAAACTGCATCAAACCGAATAAATCTAATTCTGTAAAACAAACACAACCCAAATCTAGAAAAACCGAACACCTCTAAACAGATCATACCACCAAAAAAAAAACTAATTCTATATATGAATTTGATTGTTTAAATTCATATATAAAAGCCAATGTGTCAAAAACTCATTCTATTAATAAAAAATATACTGTAACATTAACAACTGAATTAATTAAAAAAGACATTTAACAACTGCAAAACATGACTATACTGTAAAATTGTGCATACATATTCTTTCTTTTCTGCCATAAAACAAAATGCATAGGTTTCAGGTTGTTTGATTACTTTTTAACAGCAGAATTTCGAATATTCAAGGAGAAAAACAGAAGAGGCACTTTTCTCAGATCTAGCTACTAGAAACAGATGAACAGAGGAGATACTAACCTGTAATGTAATATCCTCCTTGTTTTTTTTTTTTCCATTCTCTCAGGGCCAGCTACTTTTGATCATGGGTGTATCTTTAACTACCCAAACCATATATTCTGACAAGAGTGAAGCAGAAGAAGAAACACAAAGGTACGTTAAAGGCGAAAACCTCACTCTCTGCTTTAAAAGCCTTTAAAAAAATATGGAGCAGAATAGAGGAAATAAAGAAAGACATAAAAGTAGCAGTCTAGATTGTGTAATTGTTGACAAAAAAAAGATTGTGTAAATGTGTCAAAAGATTTGATCATGTCTGATTTAAAGGAAAAAAAAAACATAAATAGAGTCGATCGGTTTTGCAGACCCAAGCATGGTTTTTCAGCTAGGTCCAATCAGATTCGGATCAGTCACTGGACTTTTTTTTTTTTTTTTTTTTTTTTTTAAGTTGTAGCCAGCGTAATCCGCAGACAAAGATTATGTATTGCATGTTTTAGGAATTATTACCACAAATGGGTTCTACAATGCAAACTATTTTAAACAATCAAATAATTGTAGTTAGGTGGTTTCACCTTTTCTTTATAGACTAGGGAGATTGGGACCAAAGCCAGATTTAGAAATCTCCATAAAAATGCTAAATCAAGTCTTAATTAAGCCAAAAGGTATATATTATAAAGAAAAATAAGCCCTTTAAACATAGGTTTTGTCTGCTTGGTCCTAAGGACCAGTCCTGTTTGAAATTTATGTACATTTTTAATCAATATTAAAACGTACATTAATAAGGATTTTTTTTTTTTTTTTTTTTTTTTTTTTTTTTTTTTTATTTTTTTTTGCAAATGTATCTATTATAAAGAGAAAAAGCCTTTAAACATAAGTTTTTTCTGTTTGGTCCTAAAGCCGGTTCTGATTGAACTTTATGTACATTTTTAATCCATATTAAAACCTACTTTAATAACGGATTTTTTTTTGCAAAAAAAAATATTCACTTAATATATATACTGTATTATTATATAATTCCTTACAATTAGTCGGATATTCTCAAAATTATTTAAGCGGAGATAAAAGTGACTTATCACATACTTCTGATGGATAGATTTGATAATGATGTATATTTTAATTTGCTAGGCATTGTTGAAGTTTTGCTTAATAAGCAAAAAAATGACATATCACACATTTTGTCTGCGCTTTTGTTTCATATGCGTTAAACTAACTAAAGAAGTGAATAACAGAAAAACTACTGTTGTTTATTTATTTGGAAATAATGGAAGAAATGGGATATGGATGTCGAGAGATAGATCTTTTGGCAAAATATAGCTGCTTCTAGATTGCATAGACACATAGACTTGCACTGCAGCTCGTACGGAGCCTTGCCTAAAATGCCCCAAAACTCTTACAACAAACATATTGTCGCATATGATAAAAATCTATCTACACGTAAAATGTAACTCAATCAATTGTTTTTGTCACTTACGTACGGTTTCATAATAAAATTCACTTTTTAAATTCTTATTAGTTGTTGCCAACAACAAAAAAAATCCTTATTAGTTTTTCTCAATGCATCTTTATTATACATAGTGTCTATTTCGACTTGTGTACGAGAGTATTCATTAACTTAATTCTACCGTGTTTTAGTGAAATAAAATTGTTTGCATCATTCATGAATTTCAGCACTAATATCCATGTTGATTTTATGTTATAAGAAAATTTTTGTTCTTGACTTCAGATTATCTTTTTGATAATGGATGACTTAAGATTATCTTGTTAAAAAAAAAAAAAAGATTATCTTGTTTTACTATACATCAGTTTACAGTTTAGGTTAGTTTGTTTTGTGTTTAAACTTTACATCTAATATAAAAGAAATTTTTGAGCAAAGAAAAAAGATAAATAAGAAACTAATTAGGTAAGTTTGGTCACAGAAAGTGTGACGCAAGCATGTTAACTAGTATTTTTTTTTATCACCCGTCACTGCTTGTTGTCACATACAAAACTGGTAAAAAATTATTGATAAAATTTCCGTCTAAATTTTTATAAGAAATTACAACGATTAATTTTTTTTACAATATTTTCTAAAACAGATTTGCTTTTGTGATTATTTTTTAAAGCTTTTGTGATTAAATAAATTATCTGTATAATGCGCTTTTACTGTAGTTTGTGTGATGTATTTCAAAATTTCGACTTTTTATGATATCTTTTTACTTTGAATTCTTGATCTGTTGTATTGTTTTTTTTTTTTTTGTTTGATTAAGGTTGATGTCTTGTTAAGCATATGTAGGAGTGTGTTTAAGTGCATTGTGATTGCTTTCATCTTTCCATATAGGTTTTAGTTGAAAAAAATAAATCTATTTGAATATAAAAAAAAAGAGTGACAGTGACAAATCATGTATACATACGTTCTGAAAGATTGTATAAGATATTAAACTCTTCAACGTTTTTAGAACACGTTTAATTCTTTTCATAATATCCCCTCTATTTCTAAATAATGTATTTTCTATAAAAATAATTTGTTTCAAAAAGATAGAATTTTTAGGTTTTTTATGCAATATTTATTACAATATTACTATTGATGAATTGCAAACTTCAAGGAAAAAATAATTGAATACTATTGGTTTAAAATTATAGAAAATTGTAAATAAGAAAAAATAATACTTCCCCCGTTTCACAAAGAGTGTCGTTTTAAAGTTTTAATCTCGTTTCACAAAAAGTGTCGTTTTGTGTTTTCAATGCAGTTTAAAGACTAATTCTCCTTTTTGTCCATACTATTTTAGCTTATTAATTAGAGAGATGTTATTATTTAGTGTATTAATAAGGGGTAGAAATGAAATTTGTTTAATTTTCTTAATTTGTGTGAAGAATGATAGAATGACACTCTTTGTGAAACAGAGGGAGTATATTTATAATCAACTTTTAAGATGTTTTCTTAATACTCTATCTGTTTCACAAAGAGTGTCGTTTTAAAGTTTTAATTGTGTTTCACAAAGAGTGTCGTTTTGTGTTTTCAATGCAATTTTAAAACCAAATTTCTTTGTTATACTACTATTTCAGCTTATTAATTAGAGAGATTGTGTTATCTAGTGTATTAATAAATGGTAAAAATGAAATTTGTTTATTTTTATTAATTTATGTGAAAATGGTAGAATGACACTCTTTGTGAAACAAAAAGAATATGTGTGAAAACTTTAAAGGAAGATTCACAAAAATGCCTCTTTTTCAATACTCCTTTTCAAAAATGCCCCATTTGGCTGTCCATTTTTAAAAATACCCTTTTTTATGTACAAAATGACTAAATTACCATTCTTTTAATAAAAGATATCACAAATATATAAGGAAAACATGAGAATGTACACACATCAAAATTACAAATTTGATTTTGTAAAAACTTTAAAATACTTTGTAAAATTTTCCCGTAAAAATTTTACATGCCAAAAAATTTTCCCGCCAAAAATTTCTTTTTGCGGGAAAAGTGATTCCGCAATTTTTTTGGCGTTAAATTTTTGGCGGAAAAAATTTACAAGGTATTTTAAAGGTTTTTACAGGGTATTTATAAGGTTTTAAAAGGTTTTACAACGTATTTATAAAGTATTTATAAGATATTATAAGATTTTACAAGCTATTTTATAAGGTTTTACAAGTTATAAGGTTTTACACGTTTTTTGTAAAGTTTTACAAGTTATAAATACCTTATAAAACCTTATAAGTACCTTGTAAAACCTTTTAAAATACATTGTAAAACCTTACAAAACACTTGTAAATACTCTGTAAAACCTTTAAAATACCTTGTAAATTTTTTCCGCAAAAAAAAATTTGCCAAAAAAATTGCGGAATCACTTTTCCCGAAAAAAAAAATTTGGCGAGAAAATTGCGGGATCACGTTTCCCGCCAAAAATTTGCGGGATCACTTTTCCCGCCAAAAAATATTTTGTATTTTGTGGACCTAATTTTGTTTCAAATAAGGGTAAAATGGTCATTAAAAATTAAAAGCGGGCAAACTTAAAAATGGACTCTCAAAAAGGGTATTTTTGAAAAGGGGTATCTCAAAAAGGACATTTTTAACAATTTCTCAACTTTAAAACATACGTTATTTAGAAATAGAAGAAATATTCAAAATTGAATTAATCTTCATTTAACAGTACTTTAAAGTCAATTAGACCATCAGTTTGAAAGATTCATTGGTTTGGCATGTTTTCATTATTTTGCAATATAAGTATATAACATTTACAATTTAAAAGTTAGTAACATAATAATAAAATAATCATACGTTTGGTTTTAGATTCTTAGCAATATTTCTATTGCAATGTAAATTTCTATTGCAATGTAAAATTACATTTTTCTTTTTTGTTAATATTAAATTAGATATTTCTCCTATATATTTTTAACTCATAATCTTTTTTAGAATTTATATGTTTATATATATATATATATATATTTTAAGGAATTGTGATAGTGCACACCTATGGAATATTTGGAAAAGGTTTTGATGTGCAATCATAGTTCGAGCACTTAATATTAGTGCAAGAGAAGATATACACAGTTAAAAAGGCTGGTTTGGAACTGCACCATGCCCACCAGTTCCAAAATCCACTCAGGAAACCTCTTTCGTGCATTGGAAAACCTTTAATCAAATTTACAATCTCATCATCTTTTTTCTTCACTATAGAGATTCACAATCCAAGTTTTAAAAAAGAAATCAAATTACTTTCTTAACAAATATATTGCCTTATATTAAAACCAGTATATTGTCTAATTTTTTATTTAGAATTTTAAATAACAAACTATCAAATGAAATTTGCACGGTACAATTTTATTTTTTAAAAAACATGGCCACTATAAAATAACAAAAAAATCTCTTTACAGATTATCATAGAATTTCGATTCAGGATCTCTTATGTAACGTTATCAAGATTTTTAATATTTGTATCATGCAAATTGTTCTATTCACCTGTTTTAGAGTTTTAGGTGGGCTTTTGAAAAAATAAAATAACCAGTCATTCAGTATATGATAAAGAAAATGTCATATATAATGTGCAACAAGACAAAATTTCAAACACATTGAACATATGAAAGTCAACCGTCAATGACAGAAACAAATTTATTGTCTGAACAAATATTAAAGAAAGTCCACGACGCAATATCTAGCTTTCCAGAGCACATGTAAAGGCAATGGATCGATAGTTCTTTAATAACTACTCTGTTCACACGTCGACTATAATTAGACCTATAAATACGATACGAATTATTGCAATCATCTCCTGCAAATATAATACCATCGATTACACATCTTTATAATAAAAGATCTCACTATCTCACAGATTTTTATTTTTTTTATTTTCATAATTCCAAAGATTTTTTCATAATTAGTAAGTTGCAATCATGCCTCTTTTTCATTCCTTGAATTCTAAGAAACCTCGATGCATTAGTTTAAATTTCTTTACACGGTTTAATACACCATAAATAGTTATGGGGTTTTCTTTTGTATATCAATAATTGATCACTATAGATTTTGTTAAAGTAACTAGTATCCGCTCTAATGATCTTTAAGTCTTTTAACTTTAATTGACTTGATATATACTCCCTCTGTTCCTAGTTATTTGATGTTTTGGGTTTTTTACTTGTTCCACCAAGATTGATGTTTTGTAAAAACATCATTATTATTTTTGTTTATGACCAATAGTAGAAGGAAAGAAGTAAAACTAATATTATTAAACTAACAAAATAATAATTAAAAAATATAAAAGTTACTTTTTCTTAATTTGTGTGTAAAACTAAAACATCATTGTTTTAGGAACAGAGAGAGTATATTTTTTGGCTTTAACGATTCTGTTATTTTTATATAGTTAATCGTTGTTCTTTACCAAGAAGAGACTGTGTTTATTTCTAATAAACGTGAATTAATATTTAAATATATAAATTTAACACAAATATAAATTTCCTTTAAAACAATCAAAACTAATTCTTAAATGATTCTTCTAATACTATATAAATGGTACTTAATACGTACATAGGTAATTCGCTAATTAAGTAATAGTACATCCCTAAAAAAACAGAAAAATAAATCCGTTTTTAGAGTTTCTTACAAAACGATAAACGCATATACACATCGTTTTTGTAGTCTAATATTAACATGTTTAGGTTCTCGGTCAAAATGATTATGAACCTAAGACTAAAAGATTATGAACCTAAGTAAGACGTGGAAGCTCTTGGTAAAAACTAAAAAGTAAAAACAAATAATACCGATCATAAAACTGAAATCTACGACAGTTTTGACTACCGCCAAAGCTAACAAAGATCAGCCAGACAGCCACTAGGCAAAATTTTGACGCAAAAAATAGCTGGACAGTTTTATGAAATTGGTGCACGCATATGTCATATGATAAAGCATCTTGCGTTGAAAAGACAAAATCCCACTCTCCCACATCTCTTAAGCTTTACATTTTGTCAACTATATATCATATATAAATATCGATGAGAGCTTCTTTCATATTCTCTTCTAAACCGTCCAACAAAACCTTTTTTAGTCTTTTTTTCTTTCCCAAAAACATACAAAACACAAAAAAAACAATAGCTTATTTACTTTATTTGTGGCCTATTTTTATTGATTAACACACCCATATGCTTAGACTTTCTTCATCATCTTCCATGGCCTTAAAATTCTCTCAAATCCTCTTCATAGTTCTATGGCTCTCTCTCTTATTCCTCCTCCTCCACCACTTGTACTCCCTCAACTTCCGCCGTCTCTACTCTCTAAACGCGGTGGAGCCATCAGTGTCGAAGCAACACCACCGTAGCTACACAATTAGATTAGTAAGCAGAAAAACACTCTCCCACAAATTCGACTTCACGCCTTTCCATAGCCGAGATAACAGCCGCCATGATCACCGTCATTCCGGTGAGCAATACGACGGTGATGAGATCGACCCTCGTTACGGAGTGGAGAAACGCCGTGTTCCCTCCGGACCTAATCCGTTGCACCATTGATGATTACACGTGTTTGGTATGTGTAGTAACATTTAAGACAAGATCAGACCTTTGCCTAGCCTTTTTTGTTCTTTTTAATATAAGTCAGGTCTGAAAGGGAAACAAATTAAAGATTAGAGCTTTTTTAAAAGGATACGTTTCTACAATTTGGTTGTTCATATATTTCATTTTATTTTTCTTATTATTTTTGACGATTGTATTCGTGAATATGTTGATATATACTAGAGATTATTGACATGTCTTGATTATTGTTTTCTTACCGTATGTAGTTATGTTGACTGTTATGTATATTGATTACTAGGAGTATTAGTTTTAATTTAAATAAAAAGAAATTGGTCGTTGATTACAATGATGAATGTTTAAATAATTGCTTTGACTTTGGGATTAGCCAACCAGTAGCTGCGACGGCACGTCACAACTCAGAGATATTCTAGATGCATTATTATACCAAAGCTATAAAATAACTATAAATGGTAATGAAGAATAATAATTTTTGTTTAACATGACCGAAGTATATGACTACAAGTTTATAATTTCCTTATATAAACAATTTCTGTCGATCATCAGTTCTCATTTTAACAAAATATAAAATAGAAATTGTATTTTTGTAAAGCTATCGTAAAGAAATTTGGTTTAATAGGTTGAAGACATTTATTTGGTACGTCTGGATCTAAACATGACTTGAGGCGCCTCTAACGTTCTGTCTTTTCGATAGGAATAAGGAAATTGTCATTTTGCAAAAGCTTCACTTTCTCTCAATCGCAGGATGTGCCGACTTTTTACTATTTGATTTCTATACCAACTAATTATTATGATAATATTTCTTTTTTTATAATGACATTTTACATAATGCAAAAGGGTCCAAGAATCCAGTGGAAATGGTAAGCTGACTGATTCAACAATTTTGAGTAAATTAATTGCGTCTTGTATTAGTAAGATGGAATGAATTTATGAAAATTTTAAGGAACTGAAGAAGATTTTTTGTTTTTTCTTACGCTCCATGAACAGTGCTAAAATAAAGAAATTTATCTTACCTCATAATGTATAACACAAATAAGTTAATGTTAACTCATATGTAAAAATGAGCTAACTCATTTTCAGGTTTCTGTCAATTCAAGGATAAAACTATCTAAATTTGTTGAAACTGCTATTTACTAAATGAAAAATGAATTCATATTATGTGAAAAAGTTAAAAACCTGTCTTTTTATTCATCAAATTGCCTCAAAAATTTATGATATTTTTCATAAATGTTGTTATAAGATAAAAAGTCGCCCTTACACAATAGTCTAGAGACTCTGGTAGTGGTTGGGTGTCCATCATTTTTCAATGGACCCCTTTCAGATATTAGGTTTTTTTTTTTTTTTTTTTTTTTTTTTTTTTTTTGTGTGTGAAAGTATACAGCATTGTATTAAATTTAGTAATTTGAAAACACACTAATCAATTATTTCAAAAAGATAGATAAATAATCCGTAAAACTTTTAAAATACGCCCCTTTTTCAATAATCTTTTTCAAAAATGTCCTTTTTGGCTGTCAATTTTTAAAAATATGGCGGGAAAAATTTTTACGGGAAAATTTGACAAGGTATTTTAAAGGTTTTTACAAGTGTTTTGGCGGGAAAATTGCGGGATCACTTTTCCCGCCAAAAAATATTTTGTATTTTGTGGACCTAATTTTGTTTCAAATAAGGGTAAAATGGTCATTAAAAATTAAAAGATGGCAAACTTAAAAATAGACTCTCAAATGGGGCATTTTTGAAAGGGAAATTGGCAAAACTAACCAACAAAAAAACTTTAATTCAATAACTAACCTCTAACCCCCCTATTCACTCTCTTTCTCTCCCTATCTCTCTCTACCTTCTTTCTACAAAACTAATTTTTCTTTTTTTTTGGTTATTCACCTAAATCACCCTTTTTGAAAAAGGGTATTGAACAATTTCTCTAAATTTTAATAGCTTTTTTTTAAGCATAATGCATGTGCTAAATGGAGTTAACTCGTCGTGAATAATTATTTGTTATAGAATATGATTCAGTGATGATAGAAAAGACGATAAATAAACATTTAACTTCGTTTAATACTCTCCGACTCCAAAGAATTAATTATATTGCGGAAACCAAACACTCAGAAAGTAAAAGATTCTTGTCTTTAACAGTACTAGTGTACTACATTAGCCAGTAGCCACTATATGCTACATTAACCATCTAATGTTTCGTTGTCATAAAACAAACTTGGGCTGACTTATAATCAAAATGGCTCAATTTAAGTGGATAATAAAATAAGCCCAAAACGGCCCAATAATTTTTTTCCAGGAGCAAAACGTCGTCGTTTTGCAACTTGCAAGTAAAGCACCGAAGAGTTAGTTTTTGGAGTTGGAGAGTGACGATTACAGAGTAGTTTTTGTAAGCGGAGGAGAAACTGTTTTACTTGCTACTTCCACGACGGCGCGTGTCACAAAACCCACAAAGAAAGCTTTCAAATTTGAGCAATTCGCTTCTTCGATTCCTCAATTTCGCAAGTTGTGAAATTGGTGTTGTTTTCGTCCTCTCTTTCTTTTAATGAATCTGGGTCACTAGGGTTTCGAACGGAAATGTTCACTCCGCAGAGGAATCGGTGGCCGGAGACTGACCGGAAGGGAAAGGCCATAGCTTTTTCCGACGAAATTATGACACCTCCTCCGCAAACAGTGCTTCTCCGAGAGGACGATGATTGGCGGAAGTTCAAAGAGGTTGGTTTGCTCGATGAAGCTTCTCTAGAGAGAAAAGATCGTGATGCTCTTATAGAGAAAATCTTGAAGCTTGAAAAAGAGGTAAAAATAAAGTTTCGATTTTTGCATTATTGTGTTACTGAATAATATTTGTGTTGTGAATTGAGAAAGTGTTTCCATTTTTGGCAGTTGTTTGATTACCAACATAATATGGGGCTTTTGCTAATTGAGAAGAAGAAGTGGACTTCAACAAATGTACAACTTCAACAAGCTTATGATGAAGCTACAGAGATTCTTAAACGTGAAAAGACGTCGAATGTAATTGCTTTAAATGAAGCTGAAAAAAGAGAAGAGAATCTTAGAAAAGCTTTGATCGCTGAGAAGCAATTTGTGGCTGAGGTATCTCATTTCTCAATTCATTATGCTCTGTTGTGGCTCTGATGTTTATTAGATGTTTATGCTATTTGTGTATTTCAGCTTGAGAAGGATTTGAAGTATTGGCAACAAGAACATTCTGTGGTGAAGTCTACTTCTGAGGAAAAGTTAGCGGAAGCTAATGCTTTGGTTATTGGTATGAAGGAAAAAGCTTTAGAGGTGGATAGAGAGAGAGCTATTGCTGAAGAAAAGTTTTCAGTGATTAATAGAAAGAGTTCTGAGTTAGAACGGAAACTAAAGGAGGTGGAGACTCGTGAAAAGGTGTTTCAAAGGGAGCATCTTTCGCTAGTTACAGAGTATGAACGATCAGTTTTTACTTGTTCGTTCTGTTCCTTGTTTGTTGGTATGGAGATCTGATCTCTCGTTTTCTCTTTTGCTTATGTTTCTTAGAAGAGAAGCACATGAGGCAGTGTTTTACAAGCAGAGAGAAGACCTACAGGAATGGGAGAAGAAGCTAACACTAGAAGAAGATAGGCTGTCTGAAGTTAAAAGAAGTTTTAACCATAGAGAAGAAATAATTATGGAAAAGGAAAGAACCATCAAGAAGAAAGAGAAGATCCTTGAAAACTTGCAGCAAAAGATTTATATTTCTAAGTCAGAATTGACAGAGAAAGAGGAATCTATAAAGATTAAGCTAAATGACATTTCTTTGAAGGAAAAAGTGAGTTATTTAGTTGCATTTTTTTTTTTTGCTTCCTGTACCTTTTGGCTTATATATCAATTGGGTTTCTGTTTTAGGACTTCGAGGCCATGAAGGCTAAAGTTGATATCAAAGAGAAGGAGCTCCATGAGTTTGAGGAGAAGCTTATTGAAAGGGAGCAGGTCAGCCTCAACTTGCCCGAAACTTTCTTCTATTTGTTAAATATATATCGCCTTTCTTTTCTTGTTCATTGTAATGGTGGTACTGAATCTTATAAAAGGGAAGATGTGCTTCTGTGTTTTGAAATTCTATTACACAAACATACCAACCCACCTCTATTAGCTCCGTCAATTTAATTTGTCACATACAGTGAGGCATATACGTATTCACAGTCACTAGTCTCTTAGTTGTTTGGGGATACCCTGTCGTTTTTGTTGTGAAATGTTATCGTCTACTAGTTAACAAAATCAGAGTTTGTATACAGAGCTTGGTTGTAAGTTGTAACTAAGAGGAATAATTTTAAAACTATGGTGAAATTTCTTGAAATTTTTTTAAGTCACTTTCCCCGGTTAATAGTTTTCTTTAGTTTCTATCTGCTAAGTGCCAATATATATATATATATATATATATATATATATATATATATTCAAATAGAAGTGACATGGGATTAAAATTTAACAGATGGAAATTGGGAAGCTCCTTGATGATCAGAAGGCTGTTCTAGATTCAAGAAGGCAGGAGTTTGAAATGGAGCTTGAACAGATGAGGAGATCCCTTGATGAAGAACTCAAGGGAAAGAAAGCTGAAATCGAGCAGCTGCAAGTTGAGATCAGCGACAACGAAGAGAAGTTGGCTAAGAGAGAGGCAGCTTTAGAAAAAATGGAGGAGGGAGTGAAGGAGAAAGAGAACGATCTTGAAGCAATTCTCAAAACTGTGAAGGAAAAAGAAAAATCTCTAAAAGCTGAAGAGAAAAAGCTGCATATAGAAAATGAGAGATTGCACGAAGATAAGGATTGTCTGCGTAAACTAAAAGATGAGATTGAAGAGATTGGGGCTGAGACAACAAAGCAGGAATCAAGGATTCGCGAAGAACATGAAAGTCTCAGGGTTACAAAAGAAGAGAGAGTCGAGTTTCTGAGGCTGCAATCTGAACTGAAGCAGCAGATAGATAAAGTTAAGCAAGAGGAGGAGGTTCTCTTGAAAGAACGTGAAGAACTGAAACAAGATAAGGAAAGATTTGAGAAAGAGTGGGAAGCTTTGGATCAGAAGAGGGCTGACATAACTAAAGAGCAAAACGAAGTTGCTGAAGAAAAGGAGAAACTGAGAAATTTGCAAATATCAGAAAAGCATAGGCTGAAGAGAGAAGAGATGACCTCAAGGGATAATTTGAAGAGGGAATTGGATGGTGTCAAGATGCAGAAAGAATCATTTGAAGCCGACATGGAAGATCTTGAGAAGCAAAAAAGGAATCATGACATGGAGTTTCAGAGGCAAGAAGAAGAGGGTGAGAGAGATTTTAATGAAAGGGCGAGAACATATGAGAAGAGAAGCCAAGAAGAGCTTGACAACACCAATTACACAAAGAAGCTGGCTCAAAGAGAGATGGAAGAAGTGCAATACGAGAAGCTTGCTCTTGAGAGGGAAAGAGAACAAATTTCTGTCCAAAAGAAGTTGTTGAAAGAACAAGAAGCTGAGATGCATAAGGACATCACTGAGGTAGATGTACTTAGAAGCTCTTTGAAGGAGCAACGAGAAAAATTTATCTGTGAAAGGGAGCGTTTCCTAGTATTTCTGGAAAAACTTAAGAGCTGCAGTTCCTGTGGAGAAATAACCGAAAATTTTGTTCTGTCCGATCTTCGACTACCTGATGTTGAAGATGGGGACAAACGTTTCGGGAAACAAAAATTAAAAGTAGAGGAAGCTTTGAACATTTCTCCCAGTGCAGAGAATAGCAGGAGAACATCTTTGCTTGGGAAAATCGCTTCAAAGCTATTGAGCATATCACCAATTGGGAAAGATAAAATCACTGATGTGGGTATAACGGCTAAGCTTCCAGAATCTTCGCAACCTGATGATACTCTGGATATAGTGTCAGGCGATGATCATGAACCGTCTGCTACTGAACAGAGTTTCACAGATAGTAGAATACAAGATGGTCCTGAAGGTTCCCTGCAATCAGAGATAAAAAGTGATAAACCTAGACGAGGTAGAGGTAGAGGTAGAGGTAGAGGTAGGGGTAAGTCTGCTAGAGGAAGATCGCAAGCAACAAAAGCTGCCTCTAGAGATTCAAAACCATCTGATGGTGAAATTCCAAGGAAGCGACAACGTGAACAGACTTCTAGAATCACAGAAAGTGAACAGGCAGCTGGTGATAGTGATGATGGTGTAGACAGTACCACAACTGGTGGACGTAGGAAAAAAAGACAGATAGCTGTTCCAGTCTCTCAAACGCCTGGACAAAGCCGATATCAACTCAGGAGACATAGAAAGTAAGTTCGTACTTCCTTTTAACTGGAAAAATGAGTTTCAGGGATTACATATGAAATCATGATTTTTTTTTTTTTGTTTGAATGTATAATTAGTTGATCAAAATAAGAATGTTATGTACAATGGGAAAATCTTAAGAAACTAAAAACACCAACATTCTAGGTCCTTACTAAACAATTTCAGCTTGAGAAAAAGAAGAAAAGCCTTAGGTGGTGATGAGTGAAATCTTGAATTTTATACGTGCGTGACTTATATTTGTATGGAAAATCTTTTTCAGTGTAGGAACAGAAGAAGATAAAGCACAAGCATCAATGGGTGCCACTAAAAAACAAGAGAGTGTCAATGGTGATATTAGAACAGTGCCAAGTCCGAAGGAAACTCTTACTCCACCGCAAGATGAGAATAGAGAAATTGGCAAAGCTGAAGTATTCGTGGAGACGGTAACACATGAGGAGATTGTTAGGGTATGATTTTCTGAAACATTGAATTGGATGTTATTTTGTTCTGTCTGAGTGGAACATATGGGTATGTTAATCTTGGGATATATTTATTCAAACCATGATTTTTATACAGGTTGAAGTAGAGACTGAGTTCAAGGATAACAACACGGGAAATAGGCTAGTCGAAGATCAGCAGTTGGAAGCAGGAGGCAGCGGTGAAATAAGAGAGCATGGTGAAGATGATGATGAGAATTTCAGCATGAACGAAGATGAGAACGAAGGAGAGGAAGAAGAAGAAACAGAGCGCCAAGGTGATGCTTCCATAGGAAAGAAGATTTGGGTCTTTTTCACAACTTGATCATTTTCTTTATTTCTCTCTAAATAACAAAAACTATCCCACAAGTAGGATTTTGCAACATCTTGTTATGTGTTGGTTCTTTTTTAACTTCTTTTTCTTTTTCTAAGCAACTTTAAACAAAAAGGCATGGGCATTGTAGGAAATGTAACATTTGATTCTTACTCTGCCACTCCATAGATAATGCTGGTATTCAAGGAACCAAACCAGAGACTCGAAGGTAAGTAACAAAGTTACATAAGTCATTGTCATGGACCTGACATCTTTTTTTGGTTATCTTTGCCTGAAAGTCGCCAAACCGTAATAAAGTTCCAAAACACAAAAAGGTAAAAAGAAGAAAAGGACTACACAATGGCTTACATGTAGGATCTTACCAAGATTTCAAACTTAAATTGTTTAGATTTATAGTGAGTAGATAGTAGATACGCCTCACCTTTCAATGTTAAGACAAAAAAGAGTGTGGTCCAAAACGAAGGACATGCAATAGCATCAAACTCACTCTTCATTACCACTCTTTTAGAAACATTCTCATTAATTTCTCAATGGCAAACTTCTATTAATGCTCTTAATTAACTAATTCTAAATTTACAAAACATTAGTTCCAACCAATTAAGCTTCTTCCTCTCTAGTTGTATTTTTGAGTTTTTTTTTTTATTCCTTTTTTCAGGAAATATGATAACTGTTTTTGAAGAAAGGGACAGTTGATAGAATTTCAGAAACCTATAAAGAAAAATATTAGTTTAATAAAATAAAATAAATATGTGGAGGTTGCAGAAGAAACAGAGTCCTTATAAAAGACTTGATCTTCTCTGTCTTTCGCTTTCACTTGCATTATCAACACAAGGTGTTGGACCTCTCTCTTCTTAATCATTTTCATTACCATTAGGGATTATTACAAGATTTGTCCCTTTTGGACTACCATTTTTGAATTTTGCCATTTAGTTGATTGGTTTTTGGAATTGCCATTTTCAGCATGTGGAAATGACCTTCTTGTCCTTCATGCTGGTGGTCTGTTTTGGGGGTAACGTCATAATTGATAAGATGTTGTGGGTGTGTTCGAGGGAATTTGGAGATTTTAAGTTTTTCTTTCTCTGCTCCAGATAGATATATCATGCAACAAAAATCTAAATTAATATGTATATGTATTTGAATTTGTGTAAAAAATGATGTACACATACTTATTATATCAACAAACCAAAAGAATACCATATATTAATTATAATATTCATACAATACCTTTATGCATACACTTCTGAGATCAGCTCATGCAAAAAAAGATTAACAATACCCAAGTCAAAACAAATCTCAAAAGACAAAAAGTATGAGAGATGTTTCATGGGCTGAGGGATCATTTCTGGTTTGGCAAAGGCAAGCAAGTCGTTCAAAATAGATCTCTTTCACAGTTCGAAACGGGTCTATTTCACAATCTCAAGCATAATACGTTGGCCTTCGTCAAAGAACCGAATGCAAGCTTTCCTGGATTGTGCCATCTGAAAAAGAGTATTATACATTCAGAAAAATATACGATGCTTAGCTTCAAAAAGAAGTGTTTACAATCAATTACCCAAAAAAGTTCATGTACCATCCTAGTTTCTTCACCAACATACCTCTGAACAATCATTTTATTTTTCAATCAATTACAGATTTCGCATCCAAAAGCCAACTACAAATATCAGTAAGGGATGACATACAAGACTGTCGCAAGAATTAAACTAAATCCTAAGGATTACAAGACAGGTGAACCCAATGGATGAGATATCAAATGCAAACCGTGGAACGCTAAGTTGAATAAGAAGTGTCGAATAAGTAGGGACATTATACCCTAAGGACAGCTACAATGATCAACCCAAGGGAAAAACATAAAAGTCTGTCTAAAACATTAGAACTAAACCCTAAATACTACAAAACGGGAGAACCCAATGGGTGAGATATGAAACTTACACTAAATTGCTTAGATGACCAAAACCTAAAACATCGATTTTAAATTCAATAACACAGAGGATCATGTTTCCACGAACATCTTAGAATACTAAATTGCTTACATCGATAGAGAGATCAAGCGACGAACAAAACCCTAACACATAATCGCATCTAAATCCAATAACGCAGGCACAAAGACAGAGCACAATTTCCAGAAATTTTCTGATTAGTTTGTTACCTTAATGGTGAGTTCTGGAGGTAGGAACTAGGAATTGGAATTGTGAACAGAAGCTCGCTTCCGGAAGCATCGTTTAGTGGAATCGAGAAGAAGAGAGGCGAGTTCGAGAGTACGATCGACGAGAAGATCCTGAACGGATGCATCACCGGAAGCTGAGGCGAGAGCTTTATCGAGAACTCCACCGAAGGAGTACCTAACTGAAATTGGAGAGAAATCTGGAAATAAAATGAGCGATGAGATAATCAAATCGGTGTAGCTATATGATTGGAAACAGTACGGACGGAGGGACAACCCTTCACCGAGAACCAACAGCGGAAAACTAACAAAGCAAAAGGATCATGTCACAACGCCGGTGCCCAGTCTCTGGATCTGGAACCGGAGAAGAACCAAGACGACGAACTCTCTTCTCTGTCTTTCGATTATTCTTGTTTTTGCCAATTTTTTTTTAATCATAAATAACATAATTATGTAGATTGGGTAAATGAAAAATATAAAATAAACGGATGTTGGTTTCATATGGACGGGGTAAATAGGTAATTTCAGCGTAGCAAAAGTGGCAAATCCAAAAGAAAAGCAGAAAAATGGCTTGCTGCCCAAATGCCATCGGAAAAAGTCCATAGAACGTAATTAACTCTTACCATTATTGTTTCTATGCTTTGGTAACTGTGTCTTGCTTTTAAAGATTTGTCTTCTTTTTTTTTGGTTTATAAATTTTAATTGCTTAATGCTAAGTCGTTGTCTAAAACCTCTGGCTATGTACCCTATAACTTCACAACTTAATTCAATTTGCTTCTACTCTATGTATAAAACTAGCTACGAACATGTTAAACATTGTAACTTTATAAGAAAGATCCTTTACATTTTCTTTTTGTATTTATCAAATATTTGTCATATTGTAGACTGCTAAAGGTTCTTATATAGGTGTCTATATCCATATACATAAAGCTGTGTAATATGTAATCATAAGTTAGAGAAACAGATTTGGCTTTTCCTCTCTTGTTCTCTGTTGTGTCTTCTTCTTGGCATTTCCTCTATAATAAACCCTAAAGAGAAACAAAACAGAGAAACCTCTAAAGCTTTCTCTCTTTTTTTCTAATGAAATTTTCTTGTCACAAACCAAACTCTATAAGAAAAAATCTTGTATACAAATCAACCAACATTCATTGTTTTTAAAAGGGTCCCATGACCCATTTGTGGTGATAGCTTTGTTTTTATCTTCCAACATTAACACCCACCCCAAATTCTTGATTAACCTTTGATAGAAACATATGCAACAACTTGAATAATTCCAATACAGATAAGATCCACACAACACTTTTTCTCCTTCTATTCTCTTGTATTTTCTCAATGAAGATGCTTAGATTAAGGAAGAAGCAACATTTGGTGTTTTTACTATGTGTGTGGTGTTTGGTGGTGGATTTGAGCAAGGCAGAAACAGAGGAAAGTGAAGGAGGTCCCATGGAGAAAACAGAGCAAGCTGCTCTATACTCTACCATTCAAGGTTTTGTTGGTGAATCTTGGAATGGTTCTTATCTTTATCCTGACCCTTGTGGCTGGACTCCCATACAGGTCCTTTCTCTCATCATTAATTTTTTTTTATCTCATTTGAGTCCTTACAAGAACAACAACAAAAATTATCAATTTTTTTTTAAAAAAATAGCTAAGTAATGTTTTAAGCCTATCAAGATTATGATTCTTGAATTCGAAAGCCGATGAAAATTGTTGAACAGCTGATGTAACTCTCTGTTGTTTCACTCTTCAGGGTGTGACTTGTGATATGTATGATGATCTTTGGTATGTAACTGCTCTAAGCTTTGGGACTATGAAAGACAACTCTCTTGCTTGTTCTGATATTCCAGTGATCAGACCACAACTCTTTGAGCTCAAGCACCTCAAGTCCCTCTCTCTTTTCAGCTGCTTCACATCGCCATACCGATATCTAGCTTCAATCTCGGATGAGAAGTGGTTGGATCTCTCTAAAAGCTTGGAGAGGCTTGAGATCAGATCAAACCCGGGACTGATAGGTGAACTTCCTTCTGTCATCACTAACCTCACCAACCTTCAATCTCTGGTGGTGCTAGAAAACCAGTTAACAGGTCCATTGCCAGAGAATTTGGCCAAGTTAACCAGATTGAGACGTTTAGTACTGTCTGGAAACCGGTTCACAGGGAGAATACCAGAGGTCTACGGCTTAACCGGATTGTTGATATTGGATCTGAGTCGGAATTTCTTATCCGGTTCGTTGCCCTTAAGCATTGGAGGATTGGAATCTCTGCTGAAACTCGATCTTAGTAACAATTACTTGGAAGGAAAGTTACCTAGAGAGCTAGAGTCCTTAAAGAATCTGACTCTTTTGGACCTGAGAAACAACAGATTGTCAGGTGGATTGACTAAAGATATCCAAGAGATGAGTTCTTTGGTAGAACTGGTTCTGTCTAATAATCACCTAGCCGGGGACTTGACAGGAATAGAGTGGAGAAATCTGAAGAATTTAGTGGTTCTTGATCTCTCCAACACAGGCTTAAAAGGGGAGATTCCTGGTTCAGTCTTGGAGCTCAAGAAACTGAGGTTTTTGGGTTTGAGCAACAACAATCTCGGAGGCAAACTCATTCCACAAATGGAAACCGAAATGCCTAGTCTCAGCGCGCTCTACGTGAATGGAAATAACATCAGTGGAGAGCTGGAGTTCTCTAGAAAGTTCTATGAGAAGATGGGAAGGAGACTTGGTGTTTGGGGGAACCCTAATCTGTGTTATAACGGAAAGGAGATCAAGAACCTTAGCGATCATGTTCCTTTTGGAGTGAACCAATGTAAGAGAATTAAGGCAGATAAATATTAGAACAATCAACGGGTTTGTGAATTGTGATAACAATAACTTGGAATTTGGAAATGATACAAAGCTGTGGTCTATTCAATTTAGTATTTTATTTAACGCTACTACAGAAACTCTTGAGAACATAAAAATATAATTTCTTGTTTGATTCTTGTTTTTGTTATTTTACTAGTTGATCCTTGAAGTATTTACATACAAACAAACATATAACTAAAAACCCCTAATCAATTTTATGAAACTCTTAAATCGATTTAATCCCAGATTACTCCCGGTGATACTTCTAAAAAACGAACTACAAGTAGAGTTGTGTTGGGAGATAATTCTTTCCAATATGATCAGTCAACTTCGGGCCGGGTTGATTAAATAATAAATACCAATGAATCTCTTTTTGATTAAATAAAATAATGAAATTTGTTGAACTTTTTAATTGTCAACTATTTAATTAGGCACAACTTGTTCATCTATGTACAAGAAATTAATATTATATGTTTTTACAAAATTTAAAATTAAATGTTAACTTATTGAACCACGGTCAAACTGGTTGACTCGTTAATAAAAAGACTTTCCGGTTCAATCGCTGGTCCAGTTTTAGAAACACTAGGTTATAAACTCCTGCGATGTCGCGGGAAAACTCATTTTTGTATTTAAGAATTAAATTTACAAAATTAAATATTTGATTGTGTTTATGTATTAGATTATTGTGATTATATATATTCATATATTTGAATGATTACATGAAATTTACCATGTTTTTACGTTATATTGTAAATATTAATTTACATGAAATATACCATGTTAAAGCTTTGGAACTGTTTGTTTTACTTTGTAAAGCACTTGCCAATCAAGCATGTAGTGCTTTTGGTTATACATTTATTTAACTTTACAAAAACCTTAAGAACCCAAATTATATAATCTCTTGTTTGATTCTTTCTTTCTTTTTGTTACTAGTCTAGCTAGTTTGGCCTTCAAGGATCAAACATAGTGTGTTATAATTAAAACGAGGAATACTATTATACTAAATATTAAACTTTCTCCCATACTAAAAAAGTATTTACATACTATTATACTAACAAACATTAAATATGTGTTTATAAATTATAAACACATATTTTTGTTTATAATTTTTTTTTTTTGACATCTTTGGATCGACAAGGCCCAATCCATAGCTAATCCCTACTACGCGGGGTAACACGACTTAGTGGAATCGAACTCCGGTGGGGAAGGCGGAGTCAAGTGGACTTAACCACTTGACTAAAAGCACATCCCCATTTTTGTTTATAATTTATAACTTAATTTTTAGTATAAATAAATATGTGTTTCCAATCAAATAGAAGAAGTGTATGACTTTTTGCGACATGTCTAAAACGTAGGAGGTATGTTGGAACTCTATTATATTTTGGTATTTCAAAAAGGAAATATAAAAAAGTCTATTTAGGAAAAAAAAGGGAAAAGTAATCCGTCAAGAAGTCCGATATAGCTAGATGCAGAAATCAGGTGGATATCCAAATCAATATTGGCATAAATTAAAGAAAAATGTGAATCATGGAAAGCCACTTGTCAAGTCGTAAAATTTTGTGTATAACTCAGTCAACCCTCTAAGCTACTTTTTCTCTCTTAATTTCTTAAAATACCTTCTCACGCAAAAGATAGAGTTGGTATACATTGTTTTTACGTGTTTTATGCATGAATTTTCAGTATCTTTCATGTGTATATTCCTTTAATTAAATTATTATATTTTTTCCGTATTATGATTAGCCTACGACATGTTATCATTTCATTTAGTTCTCTCTTTTTTTTTTTTGTGGTAAAAGTTATCATTTAGTTCTATTCCTTTTACTATACATACGTGTATTGTATACCACTTTCGTCCAAGGATGATATCTAATTTTCTTTCTGCACGACATATATTGTGTGCTTAAGAAAGCTCATGTCTGATATTTGAGTTAAGTCGTGTGCTAATCTTGATTTACTATTCATACATCTTGTTATATAATTACTACTGAAAGTTGAATTATACAGGAAAAGAAACAAAAGATAGGTAACAATGATGATGTCCATAAACCATGAAATATTCCTCCCGTCAACGAAGTTGTACACATCTATGAAATCTTGAAAAACGACCGTCCCATCAAACCACATTCTCATTTCCTAGTGTACAATGGACTTCTATATAAAAATACAAAAGAAATTAAAAGTCGAAGGCGGCGACTAAAACAACGAGAAAAAAACTCAACCTTTGAAAACTTAAGAATCCTTATAAAAAAAATACGGAAAATTCAAAGTCTCATTAGCGTGGGATTCACTCCTCTCTTACCATTCCCCGACTTCCCCCTCATTTCCGCCACACTTATTTCCAATCAAATCCACACACACACACATGTTATAAATATAACACATAGTCATATACACATTATTCATTCATTACTTAAAGAAGTGGAAGTGAAATCTAGAAAAAGAGAAAAAAACATCGATTACCAAATGGCTCCGTGTCGTACGATGATGGTTCTGCTCTGTTTTGTTCTGTTTCTGGTGATGAATAGTTCTTGTGCGGCGGCTGCAAGAATCGGAGCCACGACGGAGATGAAGAAGAATAGAAAGAGCTTAGGAGTTAAATACAACCATATTTTTGGTTACTTACCTAAAGGCGTTTCCATTCCTCCTTCTGCTCCTTCTAAGAGACACAACTCTTTTGTTGACTCTCTTCCTCATTGATTTCATTTTGATTTATTCATTGTATTCTTTTGGGTTTTGTTTTGTAGATTAGATTAACATAGGGTATACTCTTTTTATATGCATACGATTTATATATACTTTGGAATTTGATCCTTTTTATGATTATGAACTAATATGAAGATCATGAAATGGATTAAGCTTTGTTAGCCTTCTTATGAATTTATTTATACTTTAAAAGAATATTCCATAGACCTCACTCATCATAAGCTAATGAAACATATATTATTCTTAATCTTGTCATGTTCTTTAGCTATGTCATATCCGTAAGAAGAAGAACTTTACTGTCAATTAGTCGTCTTACTACTTTTGGTTTTTATGCAACTTTTGTAACATTTTTCTTTCTCATAGGTAGATGTTAGAGGTAAGAACATGATAATCTAACATAAATAACTACCCCATGACATAGAACAAACATTTATAAGTTTTAACAACAACAAAGTCTAATTAGAAAAACAGACCAAAAATACAATAAAAAGGATAAGAGAGAGGGGCATTCCGAGAATTGAACTCGGGACCTCTCGCACCCTAAGCGAGAATCATACCACTAGACCAAATACCCTTTTTGCAGCATTCAGTCACAAATCAATAATTTACTCATGCATCTATCAGTCTTTACCACCATGAGTGAAAGGATTGAAACCACTTCCAAACAATTTCTCAAGTGGCCAAAACAAAGGCGTTGGTAGATTCTCCCAATCATACCAATCCCATCCTTCACTCTTCTCCGGTTCCATATTCTTCGGTTCTTGACTTGGATCCACCAACACCGCACGCATCGAAACAGAGACGTAGTGTGCTGGCTTTGGTGCTTCTTTGAATACATTGTTTGTCACAGTCAAAAGCTTCATCTTTTCAATCTTTAGACCTGTTTCCTCCATTACTTCTCTCGCTGCACATTCTTCAAAGCTCTCACCTGCTTAAAGAACAAAGATTAGCTCAAATCAAGATTTGGTTGAAATAAAGAGAGAGGAGAGAGAGGAAAGAGACCGAATTCGAGGTGGCCACCGGGAAGAGCGAAAGTGGAGTTTCCGATTGAGGAACGGCGGCGACCTAATAAGATTGAGTTTCCGTTGAGAATGAAAACGATGACGGCGACTCTTGGTATCGCTTCTTCTGTCGCCATTATTGCCGAACACAGTGAAACCCTTTCTTGTCGTGTTTTACTTTTGTTGACTTATTTGGGTTTAAACGGTGTCGTATTGCTTCTGCAATTTATTTACGTTTGGTCCAAATGTGTCGGTGTCATTGGCTTACACAAATATCTTTGCTTTTTCCATTGCACTTGTTTTCACTTTTTTATTTATTTATTGATATTCTCGAACGGTCTTTCCTCTCACTTCATTTGTTGTTAAATTGTTTACTACAAAAATGGATTGAAGAACACAGGACTTGGATAAGCAAAATGAGTATACAAAATTTAAAGTCTAAATTGTCCACTACGAGCTTCATCTTCTTATGAAAAACTAAGATGATGTATGTTATGGTGTTGCTATAATGAGAACGATTATGTAAATAACTAAAACAGATATTTAGCCATTTGTTAGCTAGTAAAACTTAGCAAATATAATGATGAATCATATATGTCTCTTAATATAATAATCAGCAAAAGATGTCACTTAGGATCCCTATGGGTACATTCGATCAAATTGGAAAGAAGATTAGCATGACCCATGTGGAAGCATGATATTGATAATTCGAGTCCGAGATATAAAGAAGGCATTCAAGTAAAATGATAAAACAAAGTTAGTTAATTAAAATCCGTTATTCCTCCGTAAATTTTTGTAGAATTTCCTTCCTTTTTACTATCTAGTTATTTACTTGTTTGGAGGAGAAATAGTACAAAATCAAAGTTTGGAAATGAAGAAGAATAGGCCCCAAATTTTTACGGGAAAGAGAAGTAACACCACAAATTTTAACTAGGCCCATAATTTACTGCATTGACCACCATAAATAGTAAGTCCCATAGTTAACCATAAGTCACATTTAGAATTACTTAACTTTGATCACTAGAACTCCCATTATTCAATATTCATTCCTTCACTCTGTTCACCGATACAATGACGGACACGACAGATGATATCGCGGAGGAAATCTCATTCCAAAGCTTCGAAGACGACTGCAAATTGCTCGGCAGTCTCTTCCATGACGTGTTACAAAGGGAAGTCGGCAACCCATTCATGGAAAAAGTTGAACGCATTCGGATTCTTGCTCAGGTTTCATTTTCTATCTATTCGCTTCGATAAGCTTTAAAAATTCATCTATTACTCGTCCAATTTTTTCATCTGCGTAGATCTTTTAGGAATCTCACATCCTACTATCGTATTAATAAGAGATATAGATCAATCCACTTATCGAAAACTTAATTATTCTATGGTTGTAAACGTTTCAGAGTGCGTTAAATTTGCGAATGGCTGGTATTGAGGATACCGCAAACCTTTTGGAGAAGCAATTGACTAGTGAGATATCCAAAATGCCACTAGAGGAAGCCTTAACCTTGGCTCGTACATTCACTCATTCTCTTAACTTAATGGGCATTGCAGACACTCATCACAGGTCATAATATTTTCTATAAAACACATTACAACAAAAATATTTACAATTAATAATAAACATGCATGGTATTGCTTCTAAATATAAACATTTTTTTTTTCAGAATGCATAAAGTCCATAACGTTACACAACTTGCTAGATCTTGTGATGATATATTCAGCCAGCTATTGCAAAGTGGAATTTCTCCAGAGGAACTTTACAATACTGTTTGCAAACAGGTCTAGCTACTTCATATTGTATCATTATAGAAAACGAAACGGTTCCAATATGTTTTATCTAACACATAGGTCGTATCTGAGTGTCGTTTTCTCAATTTGATATTTGATTGTTTATCGCACTTTAGGAGGTCGAAATTGTTCTTACTGCTCATCCTACTCAAATTAATCGAAGAACCTTGCAGTACAAGCATCTTAGAATTGCTGTAAGTTGGTTCTAATGATGTTAACATATTTATGGATTATATCTCTATCTTTAATTTTACTTGAGAGTTGAAAATTATTTGCTTCTTGCAGCATCTTCTAGAATATAACACCAGATCAGATCTCAGCCTTGAAGATCGCGAAACCCTCATTGAAGATTTGGTACTCTTCACCTCAATATCTTCCATATAAATTTTCTCAGCAGTATAACTAATAAACTAAGAGTTTACTTAATACTTTAAAGGTTAGAGAGATAACTTCACTATGGCAAACTGATGAGCTTAGACGTCAGAAACCTACTCCAGTTGATGAAGCTAGAGCTGGTACGTTAAATAATCTACTTTGTAAAGTCTAGAAATTTTGATTTGGCAAACTATTTTTTCAAAAACTTTTTTAATGCATTAGGTCTGAACATTGTGGAGCAATCCCTTTGGAAAGCTGTACCACATTACCTGCGTCGTGTCAGCACTTCCTTGAAGAAGGTATTATTTTACCTTTAGATTTCTAGAATATATATTGGGAAAAATATGAATAATAGTTATACTTTACCTTAAGATATATAGTATTGATATTTTGTATTTTCTTGGTTAGTTCACAGGGAAGCCACTTCCACTAACATGCACTCCTATAAAATTTGGTTCTTGGATGGGAGGTGATAGAGATGGAAACCCAAATGTCACGGCAAAGGTTAGTCTTTTGATATTTTACGGTTCGAACTTTGAACTCAAAACCAACCGGTAATGAATAAAGTTGTTCATGGTCGTTATATATTACTCTAGGTCACATCTCACTTGTAGTATGGGATTCTTAATATTTATTTTTTCATGGAAAAAAATCTTTAACATTGCAATCAGAAAATTTGTTTGTCACATATTCTCTGGATAACACACAATTCAATGTTGTGATATCATTTGTCCAGGTCACGAAAGAAGTATCTCTCTTGTCTAGATGGATGGCTATCGATCTATACATAAGAGAGGTTGATAGCTTAAGATTTGAACTATCTACGGATCGATGCAGTGATAGGTTTTCAAGATTAGCAGATGAAATTCTTGAAAAGGGTATATATATGCTTCAACTTCTATTAAATTTTTACTTCTTCATTCATAATTTTTTTTTTTTTCTACAATCTTAAAAGTTGATGTTTTTTCCCCCCTCAGAAAATTCTGAAAAAGATTATGATAGAGGCCAATCAAATTTCCAAAAGCAACAAAGTTCATCATCCTTGCCAACACAACTTCCAGCTAGAGCTCACCTTCCTTCTTGCATTGGTAAAACGATTTCTAAACTGTGCATGGCAAATATTTCAAAACTGTGCATGTTTTATATCCCATCCCATTGCAGACTTTGGTGAATCACGACATACCAAATTCGAAATTGCGACGACAGATTATATGCCACCCAATCTTCAGGTAAAGGAAAACCTTTAAATATGCTTGACATATACATGAAACAAAATTTGCTGAATTGCTCCATTCTTGAAAATTCTTTTGATAATTTTTTCTTCAATTTTTTGTTTATATAGAAGCAGAATGAACAAGACTTTCCGGAAAGCAACTGGGAGAAAACTGACAATGGTTCGCAGTCCGGTCTTACTTCTCGAGGTTCTTTCTCATCTACTTCTCAACTTCTTTTACAGAGGAAACTATTTGAGGAATCTCAGGTTGGGAAGACTAGTTTCCAAAAGCTACTAGAACCACCTCCACTTAAACGAGCTGGAAGTGCTCCTTATCGTATTGTTCTTGGGGAAGTAAAAGAAAAGGTAAAGATCCTAAACTTATTAATTAATCAAGATAATATAAAGATTTAAACTTAGCATCACACAACTAATTAAGTGCTTTCAAAATTAATGGTTTGTGATCATAGCTTGTGAAGACAAGAAGACTTCTTGAACTTCTAATTGAGGGTCTTCCTTGTGAGTATGACCCTTTAAACTCCTATGAAAAATCAGATCAACTTCTGGAACCATTGCTCCTCTGCTACGAATCTCTAGTAAAAATCTGTATCCCATGTGAAAATGGTGTTCCCATAAAATAACCATGAACTTTTAATCTAACATCATTCATTTTTCTCAGCAATCATCGGGTGCTAGTGTACTAGCTGATGGACGACTTGCTGATCTCATCCGTAGAGTTTCTACCTTTGGAATGGTTTTGGTGAAACTTGATTTACG